CATACAGACACAGGAACACTTTGTAAGGAAATTCTTACACTCAAACACTCCTCCCCCTCTCTCTCTCTATCCTAAAGTGTGCGCTAACTTGATCGTCGGAGGGTTTTTCCGGCCACACACCGTCGGGTAGCTCACCGTTATTTGCTCGCAGGTGATCGGACAGAAACGGAACTCGAAAGAAAGGAGTACGGGCTTGCCGGAATATTTACTCCCCGTACACAGCTTATCTAAAAATATAAAGACTTGACCGTTATAATTATAAAAATGAGAAATTAAAATGAAATTTGATATAAAATGCAATAGTGCCAAGTGTATTGTATTTTTTTTATTTTTAATTCTTTTTTATTATAAAAAAGACAAATAAAAACCTTCACAATTATCAATGATTTTAGATAGGGAATAAATCCACACGGAAAAAATCATGTTGAGCAAAAATTTAATTTTCATCAATTTCACTCACCTAAACTATATATCATGAGTTTTTAGAGTATCATTATCAAACTCATTAGAATATTTTCTTAGCTATTTTATAGCACAAAATCATACAAATTCAATTTATCAAACTCAATTTTTGATTAGCTACTTTAATTGAGTATCAAATCACTAAGCCTGTGTTTGGCAAGTGAGTTTGCAGGCTTTTTTGGCTATTTTGGCTATTTTAGCCACAAAAAACAAAATAGGCTATTTTAACCATAACAAACAAAACATCACATCTAACCCATAATCATTACATTCTTCTCTCACAAAAAAACTCAAAAAAGTCAAAAAGCCAAAAAGTCCTTGCCAAACCAAGCTTTTAAGCCCGGGCTAAAATAGTCAAAAAAGTCAAAAAGTTAAAAAGCCAACCCACTTCTCAAACGGAAGCTAAAGAAAGATGACTCAACAAATAATTTAAGGTAATAAAATACTTAATATATTATATTTATCATTTAATCAATTATTATTATATTAATAATGAACGTGAGTGGTGAAATCATTAAACTAATGTAATTGTAATACATGAGATAAAAAACATAATATGATAAATTAAGAAAAAATATTTATAAACAAAATTTGTGTAAAAAAGTTGAATCAGAATAATATAATATTTTTGAAAATATAAGTTAGAATAGTAAGGTATTTTAAATTGATATGAACGGAATATAAAGTGTCATATCATTTTGAGGTCTTTTGGGAAGAAGTTAAAAATGTCACAAAAAGCCAATTTTTTTAGTTAAAAAAGTCATCAAAAAAGTCAAAATGCTAAACCACTTTTTACTAACTTTCCAAAATACTCTTTTATATATGCATTCAATATAATTTTTTTCAAAGATAAATTACATTGACTTTTTTGAAACTTGGAAACAACAAATTATACAATTTGGGGTAATTAAATCAACCGCTCTAAAGAGTTTGTTAGAAAATATATTTAAAAAAAGATGATTAATTAAAATAAAAATAATAAATTTTTAATTAAAAATTTAATTATTTTAATATAGACACTTACAATTCTGATTCGAAGTACATGGTCATCATAACGTTGTTCTCCAAATAAAGATTGAAACACTAGTGTCCAATCGGTTTTAATATTCATTGAATGAGCCCAATTTTTTTTTTCCATGGAGTTCAGTCAAATCCATTGACTATCTTGCCTATTGTAAACACAATAGCATCTTCCAGGAAAATTAGTTCAATCACATGTCTGGAAAAAAAAAATAGATATGAAGTTTAATTTTAAAAATAAATCACTTATTTTTTAAAATAAACATGAACAGATCATATGAATATTAATGTTAGACAATCTTGATTGTTTTACATAGATTATTTCTTTTAGACATTACAAAATAAAAGATTTAAATCACTGAAATATAGCACAGTAGCTCATCAACATGACCTCTCTAGTTAGATCCCCAAATTGAAGAGGGGTAAATTACAAATACGCTCTCTGAAATTTGCTTAAAATACGAATTGTTCCTTATAGTTTGAAAATTTACAAATATCTCTCTATCAGAATTTTTTACTTAACAGAATTAATTGAAAAAGTGAAATTTCTAACTTTTCACCTATACAATAGTAAAATTATTTAAATTATTAATTGAAATAAAATTTTAACATTATTAAAAATTATTAATTAACTTGATGATTTATTAATAAAATGACCTATTTGTTATAAAATTAAAAACCTTAAGGAGCATAATGTAATTTCTAGAACCATAAGGAATAATTTATAATTTAAGAAAACATCAAAAAATGTGTTTATAATTTATCCAAAATAAAATATTTAAATCACTAAAATAAACCACAATAGGTTCATCAACATGACCTCTCTAGTTACATCCCCAAATTGAAGAGAATTCAATTTCTATTTATGTAAATCTATGTAAAATGGTTTACTCATTTTTTAAAACAACATGGAAAAGTGCTTTTATAATATTTGTTTTTATACAATATCAAGAAAGTATTTGGATAACTAAGAGTTTTAGAAATTATATTTTTTTATTCATAAAATGAAAATTTTGTTGAAAAAAATATTTGGGACGCAATTATTGTCATCCAAGAATAGTCCTTAAAAGTTTTTCTTGAAAAGTGAAAAATAGAACTTTTAGCATCAAAAGGTGTGTTTGGTTTGTGTTTATAGAGTAGTTTTTGAGATAAAAAGTACGAAAACTTATTTGGTTTACTTTTTTTTTAGAAATGATTTTGAAAAATTGTTTTGGGGAGAGAGTTTTAAAAAAAATGATTGATTTGATGTGTATGAGATAGTGATTTTGGAAAGTAAGTAACTAAACAAAATTTTGAGATTTTTTTTAAAAAAAATTGTTTGGTTTGATTACTCTTGAAAATTTGTTTGTAGAGAATTTTTTTCCAATTTTTTTTTTTAAAAACAAACTAAACAAATTTTTAAAAGTTCACTAATATATGTGGCGACAAATAATTTGGCTCGAAAAAGATTTATTTTTTAACACGAATTTTGGTCTCAAAAAAAATAATAATTCAGCATTAATATCCAAATTTCGTTACTAAAAATATAATAATGATACTTTTGACAATAAAAATATTTTATTCGTAAAAGTGATTTTGTCTCTAAAGTTTTGTTCCTAAAATCTTAATTTTCTATAGTGTACAGACTTTGGTTGTTTTTTGTTTTGTACATGTTTATCTCAATATTAAGGTATTATTTGACATAAACGTACTTATTTGAGTCATATCACTTCTTTACTTTTCTGCATATTTTTTTTATAAAAAGTTAAAAAATGTACTTATTTAGATCATTCCAAACAAGAAAACAATTTTATTTGAAAAGTTGATTTTTTTCCTACTAATTTTATACTTATAAAAATATAAATTTAAGTATAACTAACTTTCCTATGGTGCCTAGGCTACAAATAAAATAATTCAAAATTTGTTATTAATTTTAAATACACATAATTTGAATATTGTTTTTGTGTTCGTTTTGCAACCTCAAGTTTCTCTCCAGATCTAAATTCAAACACCATTTTTGAAGGATAAATTATTAATAGATCTTAATAGTTGAATTTAATTTCCATTAAGTTCTACTGAAAGTTAGGCTAAGTAAAATTGTCTCTATAAAAAATTTTTTGTCACCGTTTTTTGTATGTTGCTAAAAATTAATAATTAGTGACTTTTTTTTGTCATGACTTTGTATAAATTGTAGTTAAAATTTACAATTAATGACATTTTTCTGTGATGAATTTTTTAAATTGTCGCAGAAAATTAAAAATTAGTAACGTTTATTGTGATAATTTTTTTAAATTGTCGCTAAAACTTATAATTTGTAACACTTTTTTTTTGTCATGACTTTTTATAAATTGTTGCTAAAATTTATAATTAATGACATTTTTCTGTGATGAATTTTTTAAATTGTCATTGAAAATTAAAAATTAGTAACGTTTATTGTGATAATTTTTTTAAATTGTTACTAAAACTTATAATTACTAACGTTTTTTGTGATAAAATTTTTAAATATCGTTGAAAATTAATAACTAGTGATGATATTGTTTGATAAAAAATGCTATTAATTATCACATGATTTATTAGATAATAAGTCCACCTATTAGGACTTACACGCAAATCCCCCATTATTGAATCGGTTCCATCTTTCATTTATCAGAAGGGAAAATAAGCAATAAGTCCTATTTTACTCTTAAAATTATTATAAAGTCCTATCAAGTTTCAATATGGACAACTAAATTTTATTTTTCATAATATATTTTTAAAAAGTCATTACTCCATAATGGTGAATGTTATCTTAATTTTACCTTTTATTTAATATGAACAACGATTTCATAAATATTTTTAATAAAATAATATTTTTTAATTGTACAAATTATGATATTATATTAAAGAAAATCATAAATCACAATGAAAAAATTATCAATAAGTTTTATTTTGTTTTGAAAATTATTATTGAGTTATATCAAATTTAAAAATTAACAAATAAATCTTTTTATTTATTTTATAAATTGTTATAAAAAAATTCAATTGCTCATAATAGTATATTTTATTTTAATTTTATCTTTTTTCATTAAAATATGAACAAAAAAATTGGTAAATAATTTTAATTTATTAGAAATTTTATAATTAAATTATTTTTAATTGTTCAAATTAAATGATTTTTCATAAACAAAATTGTAAGTACGAGATTAATAATTTTTACAATTAAAATTATTTAAAAAATTATTGATTATATTAAATAAGAAGGATAAAATTGAATAAGACACCATTATGAAACAATGAATATTTTGGAATTTTTTTTATCACAAATAAAATTTATTTATCTATGTTATAAGATTCGTTACTTATTCATTATTTTCCCTTTAAAAATCTTTTTTTTTTTTTTTTTTTTTCATGATGCTCAGTCAATTCCATTCACTCGTAAAGGCAATAACATGAAGTCAACATCAAACAAAAGTACACCCAAAGACCAAGAAAATTGACAATCGAATTTTAAAAGAACATTTTTTATTTCTCCCAATCACAAGAAATCCCTAACCAAAACGATGAATTCTGAAAAATGGGTCTTCAATATTTTATTCCTGGTGTATCTTTTCTTCGGACTTTGCAATTCCACCAGTGACACCATAACTCCGAATCAACCCATCAAAGATGGTGAGCTTTTAGTGTCCAATGGTAAGACCTTCGCACTTGGGTTTTTCAGTCCTGGAAATGGAACATCCAATCGCAGGTATGTTGGAATATGGTACTACAAAATCTCTGAACAAACCGTAGTTTGGGTTGCCAATCAAGACAACCCAATCAATGGTGAGTCCGGAGTAATATCCATCAACCAAGATGGAAACCTTGTCATCTACGACGACGACAATACCCATAATGTTACTTGGGATACAAATATTTCAACAGCAGCTGCAACAAACAGTTATTATTCAGCTCGACTCTTGGATTCGGGGAATTTGGTGGTTAGTAATAGTAGCAATAGTACTATTTTTGTATGGCAAAGTTTTGATTATCCTAGGCACGTGCTGCTGCCCAACATGAAGTTGGGGTTGGACCGGATAACCGGTGTGAACCGGTTCTTGACATCATGGAAGTCGAGAGATGACCCTGGCAAAGGAGAATACTCCTTTATGATGGAGGACCCGGGTGGGTCGCCCCAATTGGTATTGTACAAGGGCTTGTTTCGATTTTGGGAAACTGCACCATGGATGTGGAACAAACGGACCGGTAATTTCACAATTTCCAGTTTCATTGACAATCGCAAGGAAGTATATCTATCATACGTTCAGATCAATGCCTCGATTTTGTCCATATTTCTTGTGGACGAACTTGGGAACATAAAAATGAACACGTGGCTCGAGGGTAAGGGTAAATGGGTGGAGTCTTACTCGGGCCTAGACGAGCGATGTGACAGTTATGGGCGGTGTGGCGGGTTTGGTTATTGTAACGAGAACAAAGGGCAGGCGGAGTTCGAGTGCACGTGCCTTCCAGGGTACGAGCCCAAGTTACCAAATGAATGGTATTATTCACGTGATGCTTCAGGCGGGTGTGTGAAAAAGCGCGCGGCACTTGGCATGTGTGGGAACGGAGAAGGGTTCGTGAAGATGGAAAGAGCAAAAATTCCGCCAACGTCTAAGGGAGATGAAGAGATGAATTTGAGCCTGGAAGAGTGTGAAGCCAAGTGCTTGAGAAATTGTTCTTGCACGGCTTACACTATTGCAAGTGATGGGGGCAACTATTGCAAGACTTGGTATGGGACTTTGATGAATGCAAGAACAGCCCATAGTGCTAGATATTCTCTCTATGTACGTGTTGATGCCGATGAGTTATTAGGTATGTTAATCCATTTTCTTTTTGACTCATTATTATATATAGAATTTTCTAGAATTATCAATAATTGCGGAGATTTATTGCCCTCTATTTTACTTTATTTCTTTTATTTTTGATTTCTCTTTGTTAGTTAACCACTGTTGTCAATAATATCATTATATACCGTTTGTGTCATTTAGATATAAATTTTCGAATATAAGTCGAAATGTTGTGATGTAAACTTCTTAAAAAAAAATAGTTGTTCAAATATGAACTATTCAACGAAATGTATATTTGAACAATTCATTTTTACTCAATAATCTATATCTGAATATTTAACTTTTGTTAAAAAATTTATATTTGAATTACACAAATAGTATATATTGAAATTTTGTTAGGTGTGCGAATAAAATTACCTCATGTTTGAAAGACTAAAAATTCCAGAGTCCCCCACATTATAAAGACAAAAATACCCTTACTTATAACAAACAAACTAGACCAGAAAGCATTGTTTCCCAGTCCAACAACAGCTAATTAAAAGTCTAGAACTAATTGGGCCTCTTGTGAAAGGTATTTATATAAATCATGAGTAATCCCTATATGGACCCTCCATAGTTCTATTTGGGCTTCTCTAGTTTAATTAATTGGGCCTCTTGCGAAAGGTGTTTATATAAATCATGAGTAATCCCTATATGGACCCTTCATAGTTCTATTTGGGCTTCCCACTCTATAAACCAACACCAGAATCAAACAAAGGGAAAAATGTTTCTCATGTGTGGCTATTTTAATGTTTTTGTTCGAGAAAAAGCTGAGATGATTTGAATAATATTCAATTAATTTTTGTGATTAAACCAATTCAATTATTTAGACACACCTTCAATTATTATTAAATATCATTTTACCTCATCAATTTTAAAATGGTATATTTAGACATCTTAATAATTATATAATTACGTCGCTTTTACCCCTCAATTATATAATTACCACCCTTTTCTACTTCTGTTTTTTATTTTTTATAATTTTTTTAGGAGCTTCCTCTATTATTACCTAAAATGGATGACTTATGTTTCAAATTTAATTTGAATCAATGACTATGTTTTTGTCTGCAGCTCAACATTTGAAGAAGAAATCTAAAAGTCTTCATGGAATGAAGATGATCATTGTGGTGACATCTGTTGTGGTGATGGCAGCCCTGATTATCTCCTTAGTTTGTTGGTTGGTAATGAAGAAGGCAAGAAGAGGTAAACAAATTGCTAAACAAATTGCTTTTCATTAATCACCTAGATGATATGGTTTCCTCCATATTTCAAAACCAAATAGTGAATTTGATAAGCTTTACATTTTCTTGTGTATTTTATGATCAATAGTTGCTGGATTCGACATTCATGCCAATGATGAAGAAAATCTAGAATTACCCATCTTTGATATGATCACTATTGTTGGGGCAACCAACAACTTTTCTGATACAAATAAAATTGGTGAAGGTGGTTTCGGGCCTGTTTACAAGGTAGGTTTATTTCATTGCTCTCATGGTTTAAATATCAGTTGATATATATTAAAATTTAAAATTTTTGATCTCAATACTTACTCATATATTGGCTGATACTGTCCCATATTGAATGATATATGATTGAATTATTAATATTGATATATATTTCTTTTTGAACAAATACTATATATTTCAATATTGTTATTTAAAGCCATTGTTGCCTACTATTTTAGTGGAAAAAGAGTTGTAGTCTTTGGTACGATGATGAAAATATATCTTATGTTAATTAACCATAGGGACAACTATCAATGGGAAAAGACATAGCTGTCAAGCGCCTCTCAACGAGCTCCAAACAAGGTGTGGATGAATTCCAAAATGAGGTTATTTTGATTGCTAAACTTCAACACCGGAATCTTGTAAGGCTTTTGGGATGTTGCATCCATGGAGAAGAAAGAATGTTAGTTTACGAGTACATGCCCAATGGAAGCTTGGATTCCTTCATTTTTGGTTTGCCCTCTAAACTTTCTTATGTATTTGTTTGTTAAGGATCTTCTGTTTCTAAATCTTTATGTTTTACTGTCCCAATACATTTCTAACCTTTAGATCATTAAGGGGATATGAATATTTAGGGACAGAGGACCATGTATCACGTATCTTTCTTACTTGGAATTTACGTTTGACCAATAATGATTTATCAAAATAGCTAGATATTAATACGGGTCAATATAGTATATAAATAATATATGTTGCATATATTCATATGGTGTTGTAGTGGCATAGTGAAGAGATTGTGTTGCTAAAGGTTTAGAATGTGGGAGAGGTTGGCGGTTTGAATCTCAGAAAAAGCAAAAAAGTTGGTTTTTTTTTTTTTTTTCACGAAAGCACTTTTGGTGACTAAAATTTTAGTCGCCAAAACTGTTTATTTTGGGCGACTAAACGGTTTAGTCGGCGATTCATGAACTATTGGCGACTAAAAGATTAGTCGCTAAACGTGTGATTTTAAAAAGTGTAAATCACTATTGGCGACTAAATCGTTGGTCGCTAAAGAGCTATTTTTTGCCCACTAAAAAAATTTTAGTCGCCAATACCTCCGCCGCCATGTATACGCGACAAAACAGGCGACTAAAAAAATTAGTTGCTGAAAGTAAAAACTCGACTTTCGGTGACTAAAAACAGACTTTTGGCGACTAAAAATTTAGTCGCCAAAGGTGCTTTTTCTTGTAGTGATATGATTGAATTATTAATATCGATATATATTTCTTTTTGAACAAATACTATATATTTCAATACCGTTATTTAAAGCCATTGTTGCCTACTATTTCAGTGGAAAAAGAGTTGTAGTCTTTGGTATGATGATGAAAATATATCTTATGTTAATTAACCATAGGGACAACTATCAATGGGAAAAGACATAGCTGTCAAGCGCCTCTCAACGAGCTCCAAACAAGGTGTGGATGAATTCCAAAATGAGGTTATTTTGATTGCTAAACTTCAACACCGGAATCTTGTAAGGCTTTTGGGATGTTGCATCCATGGAGAAGAAAGAATGTTAGTTTACGAGTACTTGCCCAATGGAAGCCTGGATTCCTTCATTTTTGGTATGCCCTCTAAACTTTCTTATGTATTTGTTTGTTAAGGATCTTCTGTTTCTAAATCTTTATGTTTTACTGTCCCAATACATTTCTAACCTTTAGATCATTAAAGGGATATGAATATTTAGGGACAGAGGACCATGTATCACATATCTTTCTTACTTGGAATTTACGTTTGACCAATAATGATTTATCAATAATTCAATAAACAAAATAAAAATCATGGGTAAATTTTTTTGTGACAGATGTAAAAAACAAAAGTAAATCGCTCACATGGAGGATGCGCTTGGACATTATTGTGGGGATTGCTCGAGTTGAGGGGTCTTTATCTTCATCGAGATTCAAGATTGAGAATAATTCATAGAGATCTTTAAAGCTAGCAATGTGTTAGCTTGATGGTGAGTATGAATTCTAAATTTCTGATTTTGGCCTAGCTAGGGCTTTTGGAAGGTGATCAATCATACGGCAAAAAACTAAGAAGCCCGGTGATTGGATAATTAGTAGATGAACTACAGTTATATTTACCTTGTTTCATAGGCTAAAACCAAATTAAGTTCATGTTAAGTTTCATTTGGCTCTAATTTCTAATTTCTTCGATAAAATGGGATCGCAGTGGTTACATGTCTCCAAGAATATACAATTGATGGCCCTCTTTTCAATGAATAAGATATTTTTAGTTTTTGGAGTCGTAGTTTTTAGAAATAATGAGCGGCAAAAGGCAACCGATATGTTCAAATCATTCCGTCGATCATGATCTTAACCCTTCCTTGGGCATGTATAGGTTCATGTGTATAATATATCCTCCTTAAATATTCCATCATAGATAGTCCAATGGTTCAAGGTTACCCCTAGAACCAACATAAAATCAAAGATGTTATTGTGTTTCACTCCCACTAGCAATCATCTCTCGACTTATTCAATAGAGCCGTGGTTCTGAAGAACTAGCTTGTAAAATCATTTGGGGTTTACCATGTACGAGTGAGTCGAATGCCGACTAACCTTGGAGATTTTCTCATTTGAGAAGAAAAAAAAAAAAAATGCACCATTTTTTCTACCTTTCCTCAGTTTTTTTCCCTTTATTTGAATTTTAAATATTGCGTAACTATATTGAACCATTGCAGGCATGGCAACTTTGGCTGAAGAAAGCGCTTATGAGTTATTGGAATGCCACTAATGGGCAGGGTCATTTTCAATGTCAAAGAGGTATTGAGGTGCATACTTGTGGGTCTCCTTTGGTGCAGATATCCGAAGACAGACCATCAATGATATCAGTGCTCTTAATGTTTGGTTAGTGAGAGTGCAATGTTTCCCATCCCAAGCGGACCTGGCCTTTTATACGAGAGGAGTCAATTGAGACAATGAC